GGGCGGAGTCGAGCGGCGGGGAGAGCGGCGGGCGAGCGGGGGGCGGGCGGAGCGGGGTGCGCGGGCGAGCGGCGGGCGAGCGGGCGGGCGAGCGGTGGGGCGAGCGGGCGGCGAGGCGCGGCGGGCGGCGGGCGGGCGGGCGGGCGGGCGGCGGCCCGAGCGGGCGAGCGGGCGAGCAGCCGAGCAGGCGAGCGGCGGGCGAGGGGCGGGCGAGCGGCGGCGAGCGGCGGCGCGAGCGGGCGGGCGAGGGCGGCGGGCAGGTGGGGTGGGGTGGGGGGACGGGTGGGGGGGGCGGGATGGGGGCCGGCCTGGGGGGACGGGCTGGGGGGCGGGCTGGGGGCCGGGCGGTGCGGGCGGTGCGTGCGTGCGGGCGGCGGTGCGGCGGGAGGGGCGGCGGGCGCGGGCGGGTGCGGGCGAGGCGGGCGCGGGCGAGCGGCGCGCGGGCGAGCGGGCGGGCGCGGGCGGGCGTTCGGGAGGGCGGGCGAGCGGCGCTACGCCCCGCCACGCCCCGCCATGCCGCGCCACGCCACGCCGCCCGTCAAATCAGTTCCGACGCCTTGATAGCGCCCCAAATGGGACGGAGATTAATGAGCTCGGCCTCGGGCCGGGGCTGGCGCCTGCGGGGGCGGGGCGGTGACGACGCGCGGTTGGTAGCATTTGCTCGGAGGGAGAGCGCAGGAGGGAGGGAAACTTGGGGAGTGTCGCGGAAAAGGTATTTTTCGGGAGGATAACTGCCTACACAACCACCGTTTTATTAACACAAATCCTAGGAAGTAATAACCAATACTTCATTCTCTTTTAACTTCAAGAAAACAATAATTGTTCATGCTTTTTTGTTTCGATTGTTGACATGACCAGATGCTCGTTTCTTTTGTTGCCCTTTTTTAATAGAATAATGTAGATGGTTGTTTTATAATTTATTTATAGTCATGATAGTAAGTTGAAATCCCCATTCTTCCATTCTGAAGAAATCCAGGAGAAAATATTAGCATAATATATGAAATGTTTTCGACTTCTAATGTAGAAACTAGGAACTCAAGACACTGGCCACCGATTGAGTCACGACTCGTAAATGAGAGCTGGAATGAGATTTCTGTAGAAGGAGAAGATATTCCAAATGGAGAATTTGTGTACCAAAACAATAATACGGTTCTGTATAGTCTGCCCTGAATCAAGAATAAAATCTCCACTAATTACAAAAATGTTTTATTTATGAAAATTTTACAGTTTAAATTGCGTGTCCTTGAACCACATTTAATTTTATTCGTCCAGAATTTTCGATTGACGCACTAATTTTTTGCCCTCCTCTTCTGGAAGAGATTTTTTTGAAAGAAAAATATTTCTAGGTTACGTGGGAGATTGAAATTGGAGTGGTCGGTGGTGTGGCGATGTGGCAAGCGGGTGTGGGGGCGGAGGCGACGGTGCGGGAAGGCCCTTTGAGAGGGCGTGGCGACGTGGGGCGGGGTGAGAGGGGCGTGGGCGGAGGGGCGACGGGTGCTGATGGCAGAGGCCGCTGGTTGACCGCCGGGTTCCCTCTTCGAGGCGACGCGACAAATGACGAAAGTTTTCCCATCATGCGGCACGGCGCGCGCCGCCACCCGCTCGTCCGGACGGCTGGACGGCCGGACGGCCGGACTGACGGCCGACCCGCCGGCGGCGGCGGCGGCGGCAGCGTCAGCTGGCGCGATCTGTCCCGCCCTTCACCATTCAACTCGCGCCCGACTACGTTTCATTACGCCACTGGCGGCACCATGCTTCTCGGGTGGTTTTCGTTGATTCTAACGTAATTTTTTTACGTAGATTACACTTAAGAGTGCTGATTATAAACGAAAGTGGAGGCAAAATACAGGAATTTATTTTTACCATATCAAAATAATCGCCAGAAATTATCATCAGCCTTAGTCAAGTACAGCATGGTGTTCGAAATTATATGTTTACAATAATATTGAAACATAACCTAAATTTCCTTATCGAATTTTTAGATTTTAAACAAAAAGTACAAATATGTTGTCTTGAATAATATTACTTCGAAATAAACGTGATTCGACGATCGTCCCACATTCTAATTATTAAACCT